CAGACGACCGACTTGTTATCTACTGAGTTATACAGGATAAACCTATGCTTAAGAATCCTTCACTTATGTAAAACCTTCGGATAAAATGGCTCTACCGAAGTAATCCGTACAAAATATGCATATGCTAACAAAGTCTCATCAAAATTCAATCAAGATTATCAACAACAAAATAATTTCAAAACCTTTCTATCAGTGAAGTGATCTAATCAAAGGGTGACTAGTAAATTAATAGATTCCTCTTTAGTTGCTAAATGGATATGAAATAATGGTGAATAACTTAATATAAATTAACTAATCTAAATGATCAGTGAAATTAAATTGTACAAGATTACCGACAGACACTTTTTATGATGCACAGATAACCTTGACAGTCGTCATACATTAGCAAGGCGTTTCCTCCTGTTAGCCTTCAAACCCGTTTCATACAGTATCATCGTCACATATATGATACAGCTTTTTATGTCTCTTACTGCTAGCCATTAAACAAAACCCAAACTAACCACACATAATTTACTTTATCCTACACTACACTCTTCCAGTTATCACAAGCCATAAACTAAAAAGTAATATGATATACACTCACATTCACTACTGGCCAAATTCTAAACAATTAAAACATCGTTGAGATGCATAGAATACAACACTGATTGTCATTCAATGACTAGTCAGCGTGACGTTCTACATAAAACTCAACAACTAATCATAATTTTAATAAAAACTAAATATCCTTAACTGTAGATTATCTGAATCAACACAACAAAGTCACTTTTAAAAATAATATTTAAAAAAATGGGTTATAAATAAACTAGTTTGGTAATTTATTTACACTTTTGTCCATTCTACTCTCGGTTTATTTTTTTGATTATTGTTTTTTCAATCTGATTAAAACATAGTGGACAAAAATAATAAATTTAACTGTATATAATTTATCACTCTACCCAAATAGTAGTATTAAACTGGGTTATTTTTTCGAATACAGTTATAACTAGTACAGGGTGAATATTACATACACCATAAGTTATGATGATTTTTATTTTTATTGATATATATATACAGTATTAAATTCACAAACTGAACCGATCGATAAAAATCTATTCGAATATTCATTTGTCGCCAACAGTTTTATGCCATGCATCATGCAGATAATACAAATGACAAGAGAATTAAAAACAAATGGAAATTAGGAAAAAATTGAAAGAGAACAGAACACGAAACTGAAAATTATCTTTCATCGAAACTAACATTTTTCCATCCATATTACTATAGTGATTAAAAAGTCGATTGATAACCGACTGTTAGTGTGTAGTATATTCATTCGTTAAATAAACGAATAAATGTCATTTGTATAATATATAAAAACAAAGAGATCTATATGTTCCACCCAAATTCGAAGTTTTAAAAAAAAAAAAGAAAAGAGGGAAAAAAAGAAACTGAACATTTTTTGTAATGTCACAGTATTTATTACTTAATATCGTGACTCTCATATATCAGTAGTACAAGATCTATCAAGGAGAAAAAACAGATTTATTAATCTTTTTTAATACCAAGAACGTTCATATTCTTCAGTTCCAAAACAATCTATACAACAAATAATAGAAATCTATTGAATCAGTTGTTTATGAGTTTAAAAAAATATTTATGCGATAAAATGTCATAATTTGAATGATATTTTAACACTATGGAAAATTACCAATCGACTGCATAGCATAGAGTGAAATAAATAAATATTCAATGCAATTGAATATTTTTTTGAAAATGATTATCACTCATTTCAATGAATTAAAGATCTGATAATGATGATCACGAAGGAACAAAAAATTAAGAACGACTACAATTTTTAAGCTTAGTTTTAACTATTCCAATTGATAATTTAAAATAATTCTGTTCTGATTTATATTCAAGTTGATTCTGTTGAAAGCTATCTATTTTATACTGATATTTATCAAACAGCTCATTTTCATAGTACTTGTCAATCCGCATCAATTTCTAACGTTCACTAGTAAGTAATCTTCCACTGGAGCTTGTTGAGTTTCATTGAAATCATGAGTCAATCAGTGTTAAACTAACATTAGAAGCCTGGAAATATTCGTCGACAGTGTACATCCACGACTCCTGCTCATGAGAATCAAACGCGGAACCTTCAGTCTTGAGCGCGAATGCTTAGACTGCAGACCACTGAGCCGGTATATGACGATTTTAATGTCAAGGCGTTCCCGTACTAGGACAAGACGGCCATCCAGCGTTTCTAGGTTTCTAATGATGGGCTATCACTGATCGATTCATCATTTCAAGAAATATACAAATAAATCTATGAAAGTAAACATTTTCATTGGTTCCTATTCTAAAAATAAGTTAATACTTCTCTTATTATTAATTTATGTGACTGGTCAAATAATAAATGTAATTTAATTGAGTATACAAACAATGCACTTTTCATAAATCTTGATAAAAAAAAAGAACATTTTCTTGAAAAAACTAGAAATAAATTTTGTCACCAACTAATATCAGCTGTGAATGGCTCTTTTTTTCTCATGCCAAGCTCTTTCGCTTCGAAATTTCTCAACATTGGACACAACTTAACATGATCTTTTTAAAACCTTATGATATTTACAATTTCTAACGACTACATGGGTCGAAACCTCGGAGTCTAAACATTTTTAAATATATCGAACAACTGGTACGCCAAGGGTTTCGTTCGATGTCTAATGAAGGGAAATAAAACTTTACTGAATAAATAAATTATTCTTTAGTAATTGCCTTAATCGAGCTATTAATCACAAATGAAAATTTCGAAATTAATCACCATTCAATTTACAAAATGAATTAATCAAAATGTAGTCAGTTTCAAGTGTGAACTTACACTACGTGAGTATAATTTTCACCTAGAGTTTTAGGTATTTTACAAATGAATACAAAATATTTAAGTACTGATTTTTTTCTAAGACAGATTTTTATGGTATGGTAACACTGACGTGGTGGTTATATTATTTATTCAATCAGTTTTCGGAAATAATCAATCAAATACCGAAACAATTTGTACTATATTTTAAACAAACAAAACTTATAACTCGATATTTTACAAAGCAACAAAGAAATTCGATAAACTAAAAGAAACTGAAACTTAGTTGACGGTTAACCGTAAAATCTCACATGAAAATTTGTATGTGAAATATGGCGTTGTTATGAATCAATAAAAGTATTATGACTAAACTGATGATTAGATCAATTCCACTTATCTGGTCTAATGAATCTATTGAGTGTATACATTAGTTTAATGGTTTGTTTAAATCACTAGGACATTGACATTTAAAATTCACAATCAATTATATATGTCATTTGCGATGTGTCATAAATAAATATCTATATACTGATTGATATTTTAAAATTAATTAGTTTACATCCTTATAATTGATTTTTACAAAAATAAAATATTTCTTTTAATATTTAAGGCGCGTGTATGCATATAAAATATAGTCAGTAATTTCGATCATATTGAACATTTGATATATTTTATCAAAAGATTATTACAATCACTCAAGATGATAGGAATTAATGAAAATGTGACAGGATAATCACGTAATTAGTATTGTAAATAACAATCATAGACAGATTGCTTAGTCTTAGAATGATTCACTCCATAGAATGGACACTCCAACTTTACTACTTGAAACTTAAAGATTTCATTTACGGAAATAAATCAAAAATGAAACCGTATTTTATTAGTGCTTGAATTTGAACCATTTTTAGTAGATCGGCAAGGTGTCGGTAGTTTTTTTCAACTTGTCTAAAAACTGTTGATAATTTAACTAAGAGTTAAAGAGTATATTTTGATAACGCAACTAGTTACATCTCTAAATGGCATAGCTAAAAAACGTTTTGTGTCACTTAAAGAAAGAAAATTCGAATAAATAAATTAAAAATTGTCATAAACTATCCTACTAGTAACAGGTTTATTGTTTTGAATCCGAAAATCCATACAGTTATTGGAATAGAAATTAATTACTTACGATTGTTTACTAACAATAGACTTGACTCTGGAAAATAATTCCTACAAGAATATATACCACTAGTGGGTTTTTTCACATAAATATTAGCACAGAGATGTCTTTCTGACAAATTAAACTAGTTGAAATCATGAGTCGATCAATAGTAGACCACCATTGGAAACCTGAAAGCACTTGACGACCATTTCGTCCCGGTATGGGACTCATCAGCAAAGCGCACCCGCGACTTCTCCTACTCGCATAACTGGAACACAGGACCTTCGGTCTTCAGTAACTTTACGATCTCCAAAATTGAAATAAGTCACTTTGATATTCAGATTATTAAGTTTATTAATTTGGTTTTCAGAATAACACTCCCTTGCTAATAAAATGTAAACAAGTTTCGGATTATTAATAGTGGTGTAGTATTGTTTTAGTCAATTAGTTTAACAGAGACTATATGGTTTTCAGAAATATGAGCAGTGAGCTTCATTTTATGCAACGTCACAAATCCCTATATGCTGAAACAAACCATTCACTATCAGTATAAGTTAGCACTTAAAATTTATCTAATAACTCTTATACATTTAAAAAATAAAAACATGTATCGATGAAGACCTCAATGAAACTCGAACAAAAAATCAATCACTAACTTACCTTCAATACAATTTATGTTGTTTCATTTATTCGTAAAAGTTTTTGATTATGAGTGAATTATATGAATATGACTATTAGATACCAACTGCTGTTTTATGAAACCTGATACATTCAACTCCCTAGGCTACAATCATACCAACACTTATATGCACACACAAACACACCATAATACAAGCTCACGCTTATTTATACATCAACAATCAGTCAATCACAAAACAAAACAATATAATCTCTTTTTTTTTATTTCAAACTACAAAAGTCATATACAGATACGGATACATTGAAACAGGTGATTATGCAAACAGATGACACACTCACTATCATAGAAACAAACAAAGAAACAAAATTATATTGACTAACTCAGAAATGCACCAAGTCAATCAATTCAATGGTGTGCGGTTCCCGTCTTTTTTTTAGATCGATAGGTCAGTTTGTGCGTTTATCTAAATTGAATGTATTAATGTGTATGTGTGTGTGTGCGTGTACACAAAAATATAAAAATGCTCATAGTTCATTAAATCACTACAATTAATCGAAAATACAACACTCCAAATAGTATATCATAATTCAACCGGTCTTTTTTTTACTCAGTGTGTATGTGTATGTTCATTCATACTTATTTGTTTAGTAAGCCTAACGTTTGTGTCTACATTTTGATTGGTAGAGCTGTGTTAACAAATCACCTTTGTAATAATTTATTCAGTCATTTTTGTAATAATCGAATAATTCAACGGTTCATTCATTCTGAATACATGTAGGTTAAAAAAAGATTCATTCAATTACAGATTGTGAATAATGAAACCTAGAATTTTCAGGTTAAACTATATGAAATAAATTCAGTCTAGATGCATATAATTAAAGTCACATTTTTGGTTTATCGACAGAATCAGTTAAAATATTAGAATTCATAATTAATATCTTAGTGCATCGATAATCTGTTAATTAAATATTTGTAAATCTTGTGACAGTGTCACAATCAACTAAGACTCTAATGTATGTTTCATCTGATAGGCTGTTAATGATAATAATTTAAATTTCAAATAAGTTTTTTCATAGCTTAACTAACCGTCTTCAAACAGTGTATGGACTAACTCAATAATTTTTAATGAATTCAAAGTCTGATGAAACCGATACCTGAGATAAACATTTGCTAATCATAACAAAAAAAAACCAAGATACGCATGTAATTAGTACTATGGTGTTCATTTATTATTAAGAACATTTGCAAAATTTAACCGATTTGACTAACGAGAAACGATCACTAAGCAAAAAGTACATACTCATAGATCAGTTTATTAAAACTTTTAATAAATCAATGCTAACTAGTGAAATATTTTAGTTCTGTCATTACCAATCATATGATATTTCACATTATTGTATATAATATGCATAAGATTGATCAGGACAATTCTGTCATCAAAAATCGATATAAAACTTTTGTTTACAGCCTTATCTGTATATATTTTTATAGATAACAATATAAATTAGTACATAATTCTATTATTCAGAGATTTTACTAGTCTTACGTGGTATTTTTTAAATCCAGTCAAATTTGCATCGAATTCTCAAATAGTCAAAACAATACCCTATAAATGACAAAGTCACTGTAAAAGAATTTTCCAAAAAATAGGAGTCATTTTCTTTAAAAAGAAAATGAAAATGGTTCGAGATTATTATACTGTTTTTTTCTATATTCAATAGATGGATATATTCTGATTCTTTAAAAAGACAACTGCAGACCTAAATATCCCATTCGTAGTCCTTGTACCTGTGAAAGTGGATGACGAGGATGCGAATCTCACAGGAATAGCAATTTTTCCAAGATTATAAGTACTCCTAGCTTTATTTATGTCTATTCTGAACAAAATTTCCTATGTGCATTATCTTCAAAATAACACCTGAAGATATAAGAAAGTTACTGACTAAACATTTAAGAAATTTATTTATTTATTTAAATACTATTTAAAATTTTTTATTATATAATTTAGAACGTTATAAAAAATATTGTTGAAAATATCCACAAGCATAATTCAAGGATTTTATTGTTTTAAGAGATTAGTTTAGTGCATATTTTTAATTCACTACTATATTAAGCAATCAATACGTAAGGTAAATAATCAATAATAATTCTAACTCAGCGACTTGATCACCTACTCAAATGAATATAATACAAAGTAAGAGTATGGCTTTAGCTTGAGAGAAATAACCATTAACTCTCAATTATTTTAGAAATCATGGACTAAACTAACGTTACTGTCATAGGTTTATGAAGGGATTGTTTAATGTTGGAGTTGTTCTAATGTCTTAAGTGGATCGATTTTTCCTGAACCTTTTCTTGTTCTTCTGAGGAACATCATCATTCCTTAAACCAATAATTAACTTCAAGGCACATGAGAAATTCGCAAAGGAACCTAATAAAAACTGTAGTTTATTTGTGTCCATAACAGAATTTTAAAAATTACCCAATCTTTCTTGGTTTTCAATAATTGCTTAATTAGTCAATCCATGATGCGAAACCACCTTCAAAAATAAAAGTGCAGACTGTATAATAAACAAGGGATTGAACATGCTTAGATAACGTTGTACAACAGCTAAGCGCCGATCAAATTTACACCAGTAGGTTTTGAAACTTTTTCCGTCACTTAATGACACTAGCTATATTGTATATCAACTCAAATTTGCAGATTTTACCAACTGAGGGGGTTAACACAGTGATCTACCTACACTTGTTTCACAACGAGACTTGTGGTTGATAGTTGAATTGGATTTCATACAATATAATTGATGCATGCCCCTGAACTCTCTTTCTAATAGTTTTCCGACCGTTTATTAATTCATAATGAAAACTACCTTTCATCCTTTTTTCAATAGAAAGGAAAACGTAATAAAAATTTTATTTCAAATAACACTGAAAACAAACAATAAAACGTTTCATTTCAATTTACAACAGATGTTCACTATAACGAGTAAAAATATTTTCTTGAAAATAATTACACTAATAATGAGAATAAAAATTTGGTAAATAATATTTCTATATGCCATTCGTCCTATTTCCAGTACAGCATATTTCAATATTTTCTTGTTAGAAAGAGAGAATGAAAATATCGAATGCAGTATCAATGCTTCTCTCATTACTTCTATTATTTATCTAGTTTAAACATTTCAACCTAGATTATACGACACCAGATGTAAAGAACTAGATTTGCAAATCGAGCTTTATCTCGTCAGCTTTTATTGTAATAAAATACTTTTTACATATGCATATAATAAATTTTGAATATTATTATTAGTCCATATTTCTTGTTTTGGTTTCCTAATTTCATTTGTCTCTTTTGAAGCATAGTCCCGATTTGTTAGCCACCTATCATCGTTTAGAATATTATTTATACTCTATTCTACTTTTAATATGTGCTAAATTCCGTTTTGTTTATAACTGATCAAGTGATTAGATTCTTGCAAGTATCTAGTTAGTCTTAGCTGAGTATATTTTCGTCTTGTTCTGAATTCAAAACTACACTAAATTGACTTTTCTCTTCGAAAAAATTATCCAATTAGTTGGATACAATCAATAGTAGCCTGTAGACCTATATACCGTATTGGTTAACACTGAACCGCACACTGGATTTATAGTTATAAAGATTTGAATTCTACACAGTTTCACAGGCATTAAATAAAGCATACTGTGAAAAATTTGCCAGTCATCAATAAACGTTAAGAATATAGAAAAAAGATATGACAAGAGAATAAAACTTCTAGTCTTCCAATAACTTCAACTTGTAAGACTTCAAGATAAATTTAAAATTACCACATCTATTCAAGAGTAGATATTTATTTGTTCAGTAAAATATTCTTGAAACTTACTATAAAATATTTATTTACTGGCCGTAAAAAAAGAAAACAACCAGTCTATTAGATATTAGGCTTATTTTATTATCACACAGATTTTTTTTTAGATTTGACCAAATGATGGCAGTTTTATAGGTTAATTTAATTAGCCATGTCTATCCAATCTTCAAATCAATTTCGTTGATTATTTGTAACAAATTTTTTTGTTGACAGCCAGCTTTAACATATAATACATGTACCCGCATAATGGTGTACAAGAAGATGATATCATGAAAGTAAACAGTTTTTTTTTATTTAGTTGGAAATAATGTAAAAAATAAATAGTCTATGCATTAAATTAATTGATTCAATATTGTGCTAAACACTAATTACTTGCTACGTATTAAAAAGTCAATCAATTATTTCATATGACAATTAGTTGTTCTCATGAAACAGATTTATTTGTTACATTGTTTGGTCTGTTGCATTGTATCCTCTGAAAACATTAAAGTCTCAGTGTTTATGCTCATATTATGTTGTTATGAGGTGTACATTTTCAAAAAAAAGTCTTAAATTAGAATTAATCAGCTGTTCAATGCCCCTTAATTTCCAGTGATTTTTCACTAAACATTAGTTTGTTACAAAAACTACATTCGAACAATGTAATCACCAATTGAAATATATTTATACTAATAAAAGAGAATTTAATTTTTAACAGAGCACTAAGTCAAATACTAAGTATTAAAATATTCCAATGGTTGATAAAATGTTATAAAATTAATTCGTTGTTTGGATAGTGGCTAGAAGTAGAATCCAGTAAGTCCATTTCGTCCTCTGGGATTTGTCAGTTCAACATACCTGCATCCCAGATTTGATGTTTTCCCTGAGACTCGAACCCAATAGCTTCCATTTCAAGTGGCATCACGTTATCCGTTTAGCTACTAGCTTGTGTAATAGGGTGAAGATCGATTCACTTGTATTGGGTTTTTTGTATTAAACCGTTGATATTTAGAACTACAATTAATCAGTCTGATTGGTTAAGTAGATAACACGATGACGTTTGTTAATGAAAGCTACTTGGTTCGAGTCTCGAAGTAACTCTGAGGCGTGTAGGTACATTCAGCTAACGAATTCCGAATAGGTTTAAACACGCATCCTGAATTCCACCGCTGGCTCCAATCCACCTTTACTGATAATGTTTGTAACCTAATGGCTATATCGAGGCAATCCTCCCAAGATGCTTGTAGGCCGAATACGACTGATCAGTTGGATTCTTAAATATCAGTGGGAAGATTCAAACAACTAATTCAAATGAAACAGTTCTACTGAAATAGGCATAATATTTTCGCTTGAAAGTATTTTTTGAATAAATATTTCACAGAAAGTCTTACTATACTTTTCATAGATTCTTTCAAATAAATGGATTGTATCTAGTAGTAGAATCTGCAATATATATTTCATCCTGTATAGAACAAATCAACAGATATCATGATGAAACTCTTGAAATGCTATAAATACACAAGCGAGTATTATCCAGTTACTGAAAGCAAAACAGTACTACAAAGTAATTACTGATCAACTGATTAAATAACCAATGTTTTCTATGCTTGTTTATCCATGCAACCACCCTACATGAGAAAACCATTTTTTCTTATAAAATTTACATGTGCATGTGAATAATAATCAATGGTTTTAGTACTCCTAGTGTTTGACTTTGAAAAACTTCTCATTCGTAATAATAATAATATTT